AGTGTAAACGGCCTATTTTGCCACAATATATGATCTTCTACAAATTGTCCTTTTTCGCAACACAAATTGTCTTTTTCCTGGATATTTAGATTTCTGATTCCTCTGAGAAAGATTTATTGATTTAACAGTCGCTCATTCTCACTCACGTAACCAAAAAAGCTATGAATGGCTACCAGCCACTAGCTGGTATACTGGTTCAATTCCAGTACATAGCTCTCAAGAAAGTGGTTAGTACGTACATATCTATATCTCAGACACCCTGGATGTAATGAGGCCATTCACCTTTTGCAGCTGCTATAAGTTGTTTGTTAATAAAAGTGATTGAAAACATGTTTCATTAAGATTGTAGACATTTCTGTTTTAAATTTGGTTAATAAATTGTGCAATTGGTACTTAACTCTATGAAAGCAGCCTTTACCGGTTTTTCTACGATGAATGGCAAGCAATACGTCACTAATTGCTTTATAGAACGTCAAGGTATGATGTGGGAAGGCGTATGCAGAAAACGTTGGTTGTTAGCGTCTTAGTGTTTTTTCACGCAACAGTTGACACTTCGTTAATCACTACTTATGACAGAAGAAATATTGATACGTATCATCGGCATGTACGTGGCTGCCAAAGAACGAAATAAGTTTTAACATTTTAAAGCTGAAAGTAGTCATGTATGTTTGGTCATGTCTATTGTTGTCAAATGTGTTCAATGTTGATGACAAAATTAATAAACAAAAGATCGAACTTGTTTTGTGACAACCTGATAACTTCTAAGAACCTAAAAAATCAACCATTCTAATGCTAACACCTATGTACATTATTTCTGACCTGTGCTAAAAGTTGCTGTAGGGACAGATAGAGCCATCGTTTTAGATATGGTTTACACAGATGTTGTAGAGGCGAAGGAGCTCGAAGAAAAGGAAGAGAGGTTGAAACAGGTGAAGAAATGCCGATGGAGGTACATACACTGGAAGAGGCCAGAGTGGTGGTGTAAGTTTGTCTCCTCGTAGCTTGTGCTCGTAGGTTGTCCTCGTAGGTTGTACTCAGTGGTCTAAACTACTGATATATATATAATATCTAATGGGAAGTATTGTGGTTTTATGACCTACATCCCATACGCAATACAGTATGTTACAGCAAGATATAGTTAACCACAATAACAACAAATGTGGTTGCGGTTCTAAAGTGTATACGCATGTAAGCAAGCTTCTAGCGCATGCAAGCAAGCGTCTAGATAACGTTCTAATTAATTATATATGAAATTATAATATGATATAAAAATGATATTACATGATAGTAGTTGCTATCATGTAACACTGAAATAGAAGGGGAAACAGAAAACGACACGGAAGGGGAAGCAGAGGCAATGATAGTGTTTGTAGACGAAAGATCTGTAAATTGACTATCTTTATTTCTATCTTGCCATAACTTCTTCATCCCAGTTTGAAACAAGTTCCTGGCTGATTTTTCAATTACACCACTGCTGCTAATAAAATCTGTCGCCAAACCAGGAGTTGCAGCATAATCCCAGACGGTTGGACCTCCAGTGGTTGACCGGTGATAATGCATTACCACCACATGATAGCCGTGGTTTTGATGAAGAGTCTGAGTATACAAAAAAGTCCAATTCCGAAACCAATCAAATTATACATTGATATTTTAACATCTGCTCCAATGCCCTAAGATACATTGAAGGACACATATCTAACTTTTTTCATCAGCAGCATTTTCTGTCTTGTCGTGGTCGAATATGGTGCTATTGAGACGAAAGAGGGCCTCTTTGGAATGAGCTGTCCACAGTTGGAACATCACTTACATGCATTGCCCACCGCAGTAGAGCAATTTCTACATATTTTCTTTCGAGAAGTTGTCAATTCTATATTGTTGCCAATAAAACGGATTCTCAATATAAATATTAGAGCCCAACAAATAATTTTAAACATAGTCATAAACAATTTGGTTTTAAGAAGTTTATTAAAGGAGTGACGTTTCGTCCTTACTCAAGACATCTTCAGACTAATTGGGAAATTAACAAGAATATAGATATATATAGAGCTATTTACATAGTTTGAGGTTACAGGTTACTGTGAATGTGTAGGTGTGATGTGATGTATTGTGTGATGTAAGTGTGATGTAAGTTTGATGTATTGTTAGGGTGAGGTGTTGAGACTAGAAAAGCTTAAGAGCGATGGAGCTGCCTTTGGTGTTAAGTGAAGGTTTTAGTTTGGAGATGAGGAGGCTTTCGTGGATCATGAGGTCGAATGTGTCGGAGCAGGATGAGATGATTTTAAAATCGTCTGGCGAAGCAGGGTGGTTGGAGGAGTTACTATGAGAAAGAATACTTGACATTAATGGGTTCGTATAGCGTTTTCCAGTCAAACATGAGATCCCCAAGTGTTCCGAGATACTGGTGTGTAAGTGGCGTGAGGTTTGACCCACATACGACGCAGAACAGCATCGACACGTGTATAAATAAACAACACCAGATCTCAGAGACTTGGGAATTCTGTCCGTAACGGGAAAAAATGAAGAGAGTCGTGTGGGGGTACGGAAGACGAATCTGACATTGAGATGAGGGAAAGCAGCGTTGTAGAGACAATTGATTTGTATGCGGATTTGTAACGAGTGACAGCCAGTGAATGGGAGACAGAAATACACTATTTTCTTTGTGACACTAAGGAGGGATGCTTTCTGTTCGAATTTCGTGTCAAGGAAACGACGGACAATGTGATCGAATATATTAGTTGGATAGCAATTGAGTTTGAGTAGTTTTCTGGTGGTTTCAATTTGGGCATGAAAAGTCTCATAACTAGAGCAGAGTTTGAAAAAGCGGGGCTTTAATTGTTGGGCTCTAATATTCATATTTGTTGGGTAATTACCCAACAAATAATAATTAATATTTGTTGGGCTCTAATATTTATATTAAAAAAATTCTAGTCCTCTATAACATAGAAGTGCACCACTAATTAGGTAAAAATTATTTTTTCCAGAAAATTACTGTACAAACCTTTAGGCAATTGGATGTATTTCATAGGAAGCAACAATTGCATTTATACACGGGTAATAAAAAAAGTAATACTACAGACGTGAAGATACAAGACAAGCAGTAACAAGTCGTGTGATTCCTTTACCACGGAAACTAATCATCGTAATAAAGTAAATGGTTTGAACCCGGGCGCATCTTTACATGTTTGTAGATGTATATCAGTAGAGTCCTGAGGACTGTTTTTATTGTTGTTGACGGACGTTTCGACAGCCTTAGCTGTAGTTATCTTCAGAGTCAACCTTAGAAGGACTGAAGATGACTACCACTAATGTTGTCGAAACGTCAGTCAACAACAACAAAAACAGTCCTTCGCAGAGAAGGACTGGGAGAGAAGCTCTGGGAATATCTGAGCGGGTATTCAATTATCGGTTGTCTCGAGCGAGGAGGGTAATTCAAAATGCGTTTGGAGTTGTAGCAGCGTGATTTCAGGTATTTCGTCGATCAATTCACGCCAGAATTGAAATGGTTATTCAAGTTACAAAAGCAGTAGTCGCTCTTCACAATTATCTCATGAATGGAAGGTCTTTTTCGCACAGCACAAAATACTGTCCAGCTGGTTTAGTGGACAACGACACAGAAAGCGGAAGAGAGCTTGGAGAATGGAGAAAAGTGACACAATCAGATAAGGGTTTAAGAGATGTCAGCAACGCTAGGTCAAACAACTACTCTCGTGATGCAAAGCTTGTTAGATAAGATTTTAAAAACTACTTCATGCCCCCAAAAGGACAAGTACGCTGGCAGTGGAACGCAGTACATGTTACAGTAGATTGTTTTCAAAATGACGATTAACTAAATCAAAGAATCATTTATTAGTTTTGTCACTGTTTTTATAACATAACGTGGTAGTTAACGCATGCAAACATAAAGTCATTTGTAAATATAAATTTCTTGAAAAAGTTTATGGAAAAAACATTCTGTTACATTTCGTCATCATCTTCAAACTCAGCAAGAACTTGCAATACTTTGATCTTAGCCAATTTGTTTTTCTTTCAAGACAAATTCCTAAAGGTAGTAACCAAACTGGAACAGAAAAGAATCAGTGGCGTGTGGTCATGCAAGCGTAGGCAAGCGCCGCTTGCCTAAGCATTTTACCGAACAAAAATTTTTTGGATCAATCTCTGAGCAAAATCAGTTTAAATTTTTCTGTTCTAAACAATATCAATGTAATCTTTTGTCTAAATTGTCTTTACAGTTGAAATGCTTGCTATTTATACGCGATTTACTGTCGTGGTTTTCGGTTTCACTTTGCTACACTTGTAACACAGAATAGATACATACAGAAGCGCCACTCAGCGAAAAATCTGTCCCCTACTTGTACCCAGTTCTTAAGTGCGCATCTTTTGCGTCCGCCATTACTCCAGCCAGATAAACTGGCCAGAATGTATATAGATTAATAGTATATTATGAAGAGTTATATTATGAAGAGTTGTTTTTCGAAAATTTGACGAATTTAAGTTAACTTATGGACAAAATTTTTAATGCCATCGGATAGGATACCAAGCATACGAGGTGAGAAACAGTTTTGTTGTAAAATACGTTCGTCAAATATAATTTTACGGGTTTTATAGTTTCTTGCCTTGAATTGTATGCGAGACAGTGGCGTGCGGTGACCGAATTTAATAGGCAAGCGCTGGGGGTGAGGTTCGCGGCATGCCGCGAAGCTATCTAGGGGTTCTGGGGGCATGCTCCCCCAGAAAATTTTTGGATTTTGAAGGCTACTGGAGCGCATTTCCCGCGATTTCTGGGAGTACTTTGTCGAAAAAATGTATCTGTCATGACTGAAACAGTATTGAAAAAATTTAAAAAATTCAAAAACTTTTATAGAGTATATATCACAATTACGGTTTAAAAGTATTACATGTGGTATTGTGATATAAAGTCGTTTTAAGTAAATGGCTACGCGTGCATTTCTATTGTAGTGAAGAAGTAACAGAACGAAATAGTCCAAAATCCTACAACATATTTACTTAAATGTAAATTCCATCCGCCTTTCCTTTGCGCAAAACTCCTTTATAACGTCCTCATAGAATCGTGGCTTCCCCTGCAAACTTACCAACATCTCCTTCTCGATTGAAATTGTAGCCAATGCAGAAAGTCGCTCTTGCCCTTGTGTACTGCGAAGATACGTTTTGATACGCTTGAGAGCCGAAAATGATCTTTCTGCAGAGGAGGACGTACTTGGCATAGTAAGAATGAGCTGACACAATCGGTACACCTCTGGAAAACAGGCTTTCAAGTCAAGTTCGATTATTTTTGATATCATATCAAAAACATGTTTCGATTTGAGCTCGGCAGATGCGTATACAACGATTAGTTCACTTTTTAGTGCTTGAAGATTAAAGAATGTTCCATTTGAATCTTGCAACGATTGCAGCTCTCGTTCGGGAAATTTCCGGCTGTACAATTCGTGCTTTGAATGATCCAACAAAGAAACGAATGCTCTGCTGTTAAGACTTTCGAATCTAGAGTCAATCTGCACGACAATGGTATCGACTACACAGAAAAGCATTTGACGGAAGGACGCCTTTACATCCTCTTCACTTTGCCCGCGTTTCAGTGCTACTTTGACGATACTTGACGTAAAATTCCAATAATCTACGAATTTTGTTCGTTGTTCTTGAATCTTATCTTTCGTCTCGCGAACTTTCGTGACACAGAAGACAATATCGAACTGCTTACTCTGAATGATATTATACAAAACATCCGTAAGACCAAATATTTCTGAAAATATTTTAAGGCAGAACACAAACTGGAAATCTGCAAGAACTTGTCGGTAGCCCCTCGCTTCGTTTAACGTCGTACCGTCAAACTCGTCATCATTTTCGATGATGTATTCGAAAACTTCGAGCAGCTTTGCTCTTGTCTCCAGTACAGCATGGATTAACCTGCTCTGATAGTGCCATCGAACAGCTGTTCCAGTGGGAATGCGTCTGCCGACAACTGTGTCCAACAGGTATGTTCTCTTGGACGAGGCGTGAAAAAAGGATGAAAGACCAGTGACGGTTTTAAAAAATATACGACACTCTTTAGTTGACGAGACAGCTTGAACAAGGACCAAATTTAATGCGTGTCCGCAACAGTGGACAAAAAGAGCATGTGGATAGTCTTCTCTTACTCGTGTTTGCAAACCGGACAGTTCTCCTAACATCACACTCGCACCGTCATACGTTTGGGCAATCAGTTTTTCGCCGCATCCGTACTCGTTCAGTGTTTTACCGACTTCTTGTTTCAGTCTAGCCGCAGTTCTATCCTCACTTACATCGGTAAATCCAAGAAAGCGCTCCACAGCTTTACCATCTGGGTTGACATAGTGAACTATAGTTGTTAGCTGCGATAAGGTCTTAACGTCGGAGGTTTCATCCAGGGAAATAGCGACAAATGGGCTCCTCATCACTTCATCTTTTATTGCTTTCAACATGACGTCCTTGACAGCAACAATCAAATAGTTCTGGATACGATTAGAAAGTCCAGAAAACACGGTTGCTGTATGAAGATGCTGTTCAAGCGTGGGGTCATATGCACTTAGCAGTTTTATCAATTCGACGTAATTGCCCCTGTTGGCAGACTCCTCCAGCTCCACCCGACCTCTGAAAGAAAGTTCCTGTTTGCTAAGAAAGCAAACAACATCAATGAAACGGCGAAGTACTTCTCTATTCTTGTGCACCATCAAGTTGTGAGCTGAGATGTGTTGACGGGCCTGTTCGTCTAGCTGCATGTCGATGCGTGTACGCCCAAAACTGGCATTCATTAGGCAACTGGACAAGTGTGTTTTCGTTTTCTCGTGTCTGTTGACGGCATTACACAGGTTGGCCAAATCATCGTATCCCTTCTTGCACCAGACTGTCTTGTCTGTTGAGTTGAACAAAAGACACGGACAGCAAAATAACTTATTCAATTTTGAGGAGCCAGCCAGCCATTTGTACTTGTCGTAATTTGACGTCTGAAAACTTCGAATAAAGACTTTACCACTTCGCTTGGATGTTGTATGTAGTCCTTGCAACTCAGGAGTGGGACGGCCACCTTCGACGATCTCTCGTTTCTCGGAAAAAAGGTCTCAATCCAAATGAGCGGGATAACAGTGTATCCACAATGCATTCAGTCATGTTGTACAGGTGTCGTGAAAATACCGAATGTAGAAGTAGAACATAAAAGGATGAAAATTCCTATGCTATATATTTTATAGGAATATCAATCACTTGCAGCTAAATCGAGAGATCGGAGCACAGACGCCATATTGAAATTTGTCACGTGAAACGTGAACTGAAAGATAAATATTAAATGTCACCATCGTTACGCGCGCGAATTGTTTTATCGTCTTGCCGCGAAATACGATTTTACCCACTTTAACTTTTTTGTAAAAAAACATCATCGTATGCGCATTGTCAACTTTCTTGTTCTCCTTCCATTGTATTGCTCTATAATAAAGCTAAATATCTTAACGTTTTAAGTTCTTTATTATTCGTGAAAAGCGGTATGTGGAATAACAATACGAAGATATTGCAAGTTTAATTGCTTCATCACACTAAGCATATGCACATACATTAACTGAATTGCAAACACTACTTTCGCTGCAGAGTATGTCAGAATACATGAAACTACTTGACAACTGCCGTATTGGCAATATTTTGGAAATAATTGGTAATAATTATATAAATATCAGTAGTGTTGTTATTATAGTATTTTAAATTTATAATAAGCTTCTAAACATAAACGTATTCTGACTTACCCCTGAACTTCCACTGCATTGCACTACTTGCAAATTTTATGCAGTTATTTAGGTTATTTATTTCAGACCTTTGCATTGCAATGGGGATGGGGGTGCAAGGCAACGTGAATATAGGCCCTGACATTACATAGGATTAAAGTCTTGCATTAAAAATTCATAATATTGAAAGGGGAAATTAGTTTTGTTAATTATATGTACATAATTTATTTGGAGGTTTTGTCTCTCAAAAAAGCTTCAAAAAAGATAGAGCCCGTACTGAGCAAGCTAACTAGAGGTCAGGCTTTTGAGTCTTTGTTGCCAAAGATTGAGAAATGGTTTACCAAAGGTGCAAATTGCAGCACAGATGATGATTCAGTTGTTGATCCTTGCTATGTAACATCTATGCCAAGTATGGACCAGTTGCAACAATGGAGAAAAATAGTTGAGGCATCAAGTACAAGCAAAGGAGCATGTATCAACACATCACAAAGAAGGTGAGATATCAATTGCATCACCAATCTGCAGAAATTTCACACCTTAAAAAGCATACAAGTAGAAGTTGAAGAGGAAATCAGGGGCGGATCTAGAGTATGTCAAATCCGTCGCGCGACTGATGTTTGAAATTCAAAAATTACCTATTCATATTAATTAAAAAATCATTAATTATTCTTATTTTCTTATCGCATTTACTTCGTGATAAAAATCCCGCATTATTTATTATTGAAAAGTAAAGACTAATCAATGAATATCTCGTTGGTAACCAGATCAGTTGAATTTTAATTGACCTGGAATAACCGACTGATAAGCGGGGTGGCTTGACTGGTTCGACGGATAAAGGAGTCTATGAACGTCAAAAACGCTTATTTTATTGATCAATAGCCAGATCAGTGGACAGTCTGGAATGGTCTCGACTGATAATAAGGGTGGCCGGACGTATAAGGGAGTCCAACTGCTATCTTACAATTGGTTCATTTGAATTTTTGCTTTATTGTGATTGGTTTGACGGATTTCGACTGATAGCCAACTGAACCAACATAGTCAAGCTCACTGTCTGAATTGAATGTTTGATCGTTTTATAGTAATTTTTATAAGCATGATAGAAACTAAACTACAATCAGATGGAATTTATGGAAATCTTTTACAAATTCATATATTGACATGAATGCTGCTGTCCAAAATGTGAATTTTTTCAAGAGGGTGGAAATTTATGGATTTATGGATTAATTTTAAATGCTTGGCAAAGACGATCTCGCGAGCGACATTTCAGTCATTGATGTTCAAAAGAATGCCCACATTGTTTTGAGTTTTATCAGCAGAAATTTACATCGAAAATCGTAAGTAAAGGACAAGTGAAGTGTATGCATGAATGTAATATATCAAAGTCAATTATGCGAGTGTGTGATGCGATTTATGTCAATATGGCGTATGGTAAGCAGATTGATGCTTCTGAAATTGTTGTTGACGAAGGACTTTTAGCTATGATTTCTTTAGTGCTTGGGGAATCGTGGCCGTTATACGGCAGCGAAATCCTACATTCCTGCAAATATATTTCAATGGACAAAAAATCTGTAGCCATAAGGCGCCATACTATTATTTACTTTATCATAAACAAATGTTTGGGGTTTTTCAGTTTATGATCATTGATCATTCAATCATTGGACAGTTATACTACATATTGTTTAAGATTTGAGAAAACTAACATTGATTACATGAGAAGCTGTTTACTATAACCTGTGATTTTGAGTCTTCTGATCCATGAAGCTTTTTATTTTGACAATTTGACTGGAATGGTATTAAACCTGAGTATTTCACATACATGGAATGTTGTGAAATACTCAGGTTTAATACCATTCGCAAGCTGGTAAACGACTGCGTCTACGGCGAATTAGCAACAGGCATAAAAGTGCTATTTCGTCTAGTTCTTCGGAATCAGAAAATGACACAGAATTTAACTCATTTGAGGAACCGCCATTTTTGTTTGATATGAGATTTATTGAGCATGCGCTGTGAGGAAAACACAAAAGCAATTTGCTTCAAGACGCCGCACACGGACAAATCGATAAAGCATTTCGCCACGCGTGGCAAAAAATATCAAACATGTTTGATATTTGCCAGTTCTGCCAGGAAAGGCAAAAGTCGTCGGAAACAGTACGCGCACACGAGAGCAACTTGCTCGCGCCACTTGACACGAATGACATTTTGCTAAGCACATAGCTCTCGTGTGCGCCGGGCTTTACAGGCAAACAGAAACGATCTCTTCAAGACCTGTCGTTTCTTCCACTATTTTCCGGAGATTTAGGTTAACTTGACCAACAATATAGTCGCATTGGTTCAATCCAGTGGATTGATGTCAACGACCAGAAGATTGAGAAATTTTGGATTGACGTCATTAATCATGTTGATGCTTATGGGGATCACGATTTTCAAGAGTTGGGAAGCCTTGCATCAGTTGAAAGAGCATTTGGCTTTGATAAAATCCAAACTAAGAAATTGAATGGGATAGTCGCTACTAGAGAATCTGATGCACGTGAAATTATATATGGCAACGCAAAAAATTTGCTGCAACAATTTCACTCCTTGGCCTCAAATGATACCTAGGTTTACTTCAGAAATGTATGAAAGTACAGAAGACGTAAACTATGCGATATACGGTATCAATGTGTAGTTTGGTTTAAATTAAATATTTTCAACAGACTTGGGCTAGTTTTTACTTGTTTTGATGCAAATTTGGGCTATTTCTTGCAAAATGTAATTGGGCTATTTATGGGCTACTTTTAATGGTAGCTTGGGCGGGTTTGCAGGCTACCCATCTAGCATCACTCGTTGGAATATATTGTCGTTTACTTGTTAATATGCGCGGTTCTGAAAGTGTTAGGTTTTGAATTGTAGTTTGTTTTATCTAAAACAATAAGATGCCTCGGTCCTTGATTCCAAACACTCCGATCGCTATAGATTACTGGACTAAAAAAGATTCACATAAGAGGATATTATTTCTATCGCACATGCACGCAGACCATATACAAGGTTTGAATTCGTCTTGGTCGGATCAAGTTATTTACTGCTCGAATATTACACGTACTCTCCTCATCAGCCATCATAACATAAATCCATCGCTTGTAGTTGCATTGCCCGTCGGTGAGAGTGTGATTCTACCTCTAGATGCTCTAGGTATGTGTATTAAAATTATGAGTACAACCAATTTGACATAACGAAGGCAGTGTTTTTTCTTTGATTTAAGTATCTTATATTTTGGCGGTTTAATTTTACAGTACCTAAAATACGCACGTACGTACACACATCACATAAATTAGCTGCTGGAAAAGGATTTGAAGCGCGAGCGAAAAGATCGATTTTACTTTGTTATGATGTGATGTGGAAAAACTAATTGAGAACTAAGGGATGAATGTTTATGTTCGTGTTCAGCCATATTTCTATTGTAATTAGAAATTTATTATTTTTACGGATTTATTGAAATAAGTTCTTTAACTGTAGGTAAACATGTGAGTAATCATTGACATGTCATTAATGAAAAGAATATGCTCAATTTTTATTGAACGATGATATTCAGATTAATTCAATTGCCATACATTATACATCTTTCTCTCAGTTTGTATTCTAGTTTATATTTGAAATTTATCAAACATTAAACATCACCCTTTCTGTACAAAAATATACAAGATCACTCCCCCCACACGTTCACACACTTGCATGCCTAAAGGCATGTACAACAGCATGAGAAGTGAGAACATGTACATATCTTGTACATAGTCTTTATACTTCAGTGAGCATTCCAGCTATTATATTCAAAATGAATGCCAACTCATTTATAGAGTTCAGTTATAGAGTTCTGTCTTCTTAGAAGGTATAGACAAATTGCTATTGACATGAATAATCATTTAACTATTGATGAAAAGTTATTACAGAATGTCATATATACAAAACAACAGCTTTGCACCATCCCTCTCCACTGTATGCAAAGGTTACATTTTTCCTTTCCTTTCATTGTGTTCCAAATGTGTGTGTTTTTGAATACTGTCTAAATGGAACTGGTACAAAATAACGAGTCTGCTCAATCAATGTATTTGAAATAAACTGTAGTCGCTGTTGCTGCTCATGGCTTGCTAAATCAGGAACTTCTTAGTGTTGTATAATTTTTTGATATTTTTCATTATAACAATTTTAGATAATGCAAATATTTGTAAAAGGACTACTAAAGGCTATTACCATAGTTAAATAAGTTAATACTACCTGAGGGCTAATGCATATAATGTTTCGATCAGGGAAATAAGTAAGTTCATTGATGAAGGTGGTCAATATAGTGTCTGTATCCTAGCAATAGCTGCTTAGCTTTAATTATGCTATTATAGCTAATATTTAAAATCCAATGAAGTTTTAAGCAGGAAGATTTGTTGCTGACAAATCACTTGCCGCATAAAAATATTAGTACTACTGCAAACTGTTGTGTTAATTCAAAATAACAATTTATTTCAATAACCAAAGATGTTTATGTGGAAGTAAGCAATACCTTGGTTCCCCCAAATATTGAGCGTTTTTGTCATTCAAAGATTGTAACTTGACATCATAATTGTTTTGTATAATCACGGGCACTCTTGCAGGTGGAACCAAGGGAGACATGACTCCCTCCAGCTTTCATTTTTGAGCGGGGCAGGTGCAGTATGGGTGCCGAATTTTGAAATTGGTTACGAAAAATTCAGTTATTGCTCCTAAGTTATAAATTAATATAACAAATTTCCGACTGTTTTGTCCAAACTCACGGCACTTGCTACCGCACACGATATTGTTTATTTAAAATATGATTCACAATAGTATCTCTTTAAATTTGTATAATGATTAGGCTAGACTGCAGTTTAGCGGACACCCGATCAAAGCGCTCGTATTGGGAGCGCAGGCTCGTTTTTGTTTGGATCATAGGGTTAGTGTTTGGGTCAGCGTCGAAGGTGTCCGCTAAACTGCAGTAGTCCCAATGATTAAATCTCACCACAATTTTTATTGTTGCCGAACAAGGAGCAGATTATTACAACATTTGGAAGCCTCACATCAGAAGTCAACATGGCTGTTGCATGAAATGTTCGTCGTTATTGCAAAACGATTATATTAATTTCAACTTTCACGCAACATTAAAAACACGCTATAGAAGAACACCTTTGATTAACATGTGCACAACTCGTGATATTTGTTGTCAAATTATTGTACGCTCGGTTGGCAATTCAAAAGTTCATTGTGCGTGCATTTTAACCAAAAAATATTTTAAGGAGATTGGTTTTAAATATAAATATATTTTGTAAATATACTGCACGAATAATTCTATTCTTCTGCAAAATTATTATAAATTAAAGATTTTAGCTAGTAAAGCCAAATCCTACTGATTAATTCTACCAAAATCAAATTTTGGTATGTTACAATGCCATCTTTTCACCAATACATTAATGTCAATCTTACCACATAAAGTCCATGAAATGGCTTGTTAACACGTTTCTCACATAATTATGTTCACTCTGGTTTCAGATCAAGAGAAATTGACGGTGACTTTAATCGACGCCAATCACTGTCCAGGAGCTGTAATGTTTCTATTCCAGGGGTACTTCGGGAACATCTTGTACACCGGGGATTTTCGTTATCACGAAAACATGTTGGACATGTACCCATTTACCAACAACTTCGTTATCAATAAATTATTTTTGGATAATACTTATTGCGATCCGAGATGCGAGTTTTTAAATAAATATGAGGCGAAAGACAAAATACTCAAAATCATCTATGAGCATTCGGATAGAGATGTTGTCATAGGTATGTTTTTGACGAATTACAGGTATCCTTGGCGCTATAAACTGGAGTGAAGTTTTTGATTTGATAACTTGTGCTCTTATATATGTAAACGGCATTTTCCTGTGGACATTCAGAAGTTTGGTTATTGGTGGGGAGGTGGGAGTGCAAGCATAACGAGTCAAATTATTTCTAGTTAGTATACGTTTAGTGTCCACCAGAACATTGATCCAGATGAATGTTGAACTATCTGCTTCGTGCGCCTGCTTGGTAAAACGTTTTGCTCCTTCCACATGTTTCTTGACATTGATTGCAATCTACTTACAAAGCCACGCAAAGGCAAAGGTCTATCGCTATTGAAGAATCATTGTTAACCACAATGAAATGCGCATCTATTGTTTGTTTATATTTGTATTAAACATGATAATTTATTCCATCACACGATGATCTTTCTCTTAGACCCTTCGTACAACTTCGACAATAGTTAAAATGTCTGACTCCAAATACCGATCATTTATGTGAGTAACAAGTTTTGGTCTTCCTCCTTCAACCGTTATGCTTACCATAGTTTTGAATAATTATGAGCCCACCCAAACAGATACGTTTATAAAAATAATTACTAGCAAGCATCTGAAAATACTTTTTTGAGCCAAAATCGACACAAATTTTTATACATCCACAAAAGATGTATAAAGTATCTAAGGATTACAAACTGATACAACGCTTGTCTACTTATTCTACCAAGAAAATGGCCGCGAAATCATTCGAGCGCGTGTTGCATTCTGGTTGACAATGATTCTTTAAAGAACATGTTATGTCTGTATTTCTTTTTTGATTGTTAGGTTTGGATTTTTTGGGTAAAGAAGACTTATTGTGCGAAATTGCGAGAGAACTAAACGTTCCTATACATGTCGACCATGCTCGTTATAAAACGAGTCAAATACTTGGATGCAGTGAATACTTTACCACGGAGAGAAAAGACACGTTTATTAGTGTGGAAAGAAGAAAAAGGTTTCTCTTACAACGATAAAACACAAAAATAAATACTTTGTACCTACCATCGGTATCTTAATTACTGGTTTGTACGCCGGAATGAAGGAAGAGCTCTCCAAAAATGGTATGTTTTACGTCGTCCCGTATTCTGACCACAGTTCTTTCTCAGAGTTGAAGAAATTTGTTTCAAGAATTCGACCGCAGTGTATCGTTCCTTGTGTCAACCGAATTGGTGAGCAAAATTTGTTTGTTGACTTTGCTAATTTTAACATGTTTGGACAGTACTGCTCAGAACTAACTTAAGTCTGCGTTTGCGTCACATTTGCGTTTCGAACGCGGCCGGTACGCGTTCTGAACGCGTTCGAAGAAAATTTGGAGACACGTTCTGAACGCCCTCCCGATTGTTAAAAAAACTCGGTATAACATGGAAATTTCCGAATTTGAACACTTGTATATTGAGTACAAGTGATGATTACCGATCAATGATCGGATGTGGCCAAGAACGCGTTTCGCTATGCGTTCCACCTTTAGCCGAACGCAATTGGAACGCATTTTGGAACGGGTTCGGAACGCGTTCCGAGCGCGTTTTCTGTAAAACTTACTTCTGAGAAGTATTGTATCTGAAGCGTTTTTACTCGAAGATTTGACGATTTGGGTGAATTTCGACTACTTCCTGCTGATATTCATTAAGCCCAGTGTTCGTGCGAAACTTAAATGTCCTTGAATCTCTTTCAATTGAAATTGAAAATTTTGAGGCCTTAAAAATGCTTGAATTTTGTAACATATGTTCGAAAGTACTTGAATTGAAATTTGTTCATCGAATTTTGATAAACATTTTATCGCACTATTTTCTTTTCAAAGTCGATTTCAATTACATCTTACAACTTTATTGCAATAAGATAAATCGTCTTCTAACAGTTGATGTGAGAACTTTAAAGAAACCTATCAACATGGCAGCTTTTAGGTCATACGTCTAAAAACACATCATTTGCTCTAGACTAAATGATGGGAAAAGTTCTTTTGTTTTAATTTTAATAACGTTTTTACTTTTTCTCTCTTTAGTTGTGCTTTTTCGTCCAAACGAATCCAATTTGTATGTAACACATCCAAAAAATGCAATTTCGTTGCCCATCTCATACGACTACATAATTTCTACGCGAATAGTTAAATAATTACTTTTTCAGAATTCGTTGCCTCCCAAGCGAAACAAGGAGACAATTGAAATAAATCTTCCTTTAAATTTTTCGATTTTTGCGCTTAGATGAACTCGAGTTGCAATTATTTTGTGTTATCTACACATACGCATACCTGAAAAATCAGCAACACGCAGGTGCAACGATCAGTTAAATTTTAATGCAAAGTGAGGGGGGGGGGGCTCCACATAGCTCTTCTGCCCCCTATTTCCGACGCCCCTGTTGTTTTATATACGAGAAAAATGGTTCGCCACATTCATTGAGTGTTAATCGATGCACATGAAACGTCTTGTTCTTTACATTTTTCAATTGCAGTGGAGAGCAAGAACTACGAGGATCATGACCGAATGGACATGAGCGTTTTCGAGTCTTACATAGATAATGAGACAAAGAAGCATGTCTTCGAGATCCCACCGACCGTCCAGGATTTCATGTTGAATGGTATTGACGTTCAGCAATTTAATATTAGAAAACGGAAGTCTGCGACTAGTTTTTTCAACGGTGTTGTGAAAAAACCCTGTGGCATAAATTTTCCTCCGCTGCTTGAAAACGTGAACAACGGCGACGAACGGATATCTGGTAAAGAAAAAGATATAAGGATTGAATTACGTGAGGGTATGCAGAAGTTTTATCTATAATATCTATTTCCATTCTTTAACGCAAATTTCATGTTCATAATGCCTTGTTTTTACCTGACACTTAAGCGGCCAAGCAAATACTGATGTCCTTTTCCAGCCAACAATTTCAAAAAATAAAGGAAAAAACGCACTCCTAAAAAATTCATCTTGTAAAACTCTAGATTCGAGCTATAAAAGCAAGAGACAGGATTCAAAGCAATATTTCGACTTTATTTCGAAGTCATTATCAAGCTAAGTGATTATTTACAGGCATGCGTGATCTTATCACTTATTACTACATCATAACAATTATTATCATCATATCTAGACAGTAACACCTCCTTTCATCGCCTTTCTTTTTTTTTCATTGCTTACGTCTTTTCCTTTTAACAACTATTTAAGATCACGCATGCTGTAAATGATCACTTAGCTTGTTAATGACTTTGAAATAAAGTCGAAATATTGCTTTGAATCTTGTCTTATGCTTTTATAACTCGAATCTTGGGTTTACAAGGTGATGTTTTTTGGAGTGTGTTTTTTCCTTTAAATGCTGATGTAGTTCACGGTTTCCAACAGAGCCTGATTTGGAAGATTAAGTTTGTTTCCATTAAATAGACAGTTAGCCGAGTGCGTATGATTCAGCTTTACATTGTTGAGTGTGCTGTTCAAATGCACTAAAACAATGTTGAGGTTCGCTTTTCTTGTATGTTTATAAATGTAGATCGTCCAGGTTAGTAAAGTTCTGAGAAGGACTGTTGATGTTGATGTGAGAAATAGCCAATGACTATCAATTTTCTACATTGCCGAGTCTTGTTGTTAGTTCATACATGTAAGCTCTGAACTTGATCTAGGTTGCGAAGCTTAGAGAGTTTGCAATCCAATTGTATGGGTGCTAGTGATAATTTTACCTTGGTCATGATCTTTGTGTAATGAGAAGAAAACGAATTTCTTTAATATCGATTAAACTTTATTTTTAGCCTCCATTATTATTTGCTAATTACTCGATCGACTATTCTCGTGATTGTACATTTGATAGATTTTACTTATTGTTCCTTAATGCCATTGATTTGTTGTACGTTTGTAGATACTGATTCTAACAAAACCGCTCTCGTTGACAAATGTACGAGTTCGAAAAGCGATTTGAAACAACGGCATGAATCTCTTTGTGTGCCAAACCAATTAATATCAACCCCGTTGAAGTGTATTGAATCAGTTGAATGTGGCGATAATTTAGGTTCTGACGATGTTGATGTTTCTACTACGCTTCCGACACAGTCTAACGATAATAATGTCGCTACGACGCTTCCTGGAATGGCAAAACTGAACGAATTCACTCCATTTGTGAAGAAAGAGAAAGATTTAGATAAAAGCACAAGAAAAATTAGTTGTGGTGGTGGTAATTGTGGAACAAATCAGAGGTGCTTACCAGCTCTTAAAGCACTAAATATTGAATATTTCAGCGATGGTGAAGAATCGTCTAACGAAAATCTTCAGACATCTAGTTCAAACACGACTGCTAATCAACCCCTTGAGAAAAGCGAGAATGGTTTTCAAAAAACAGGCGATTCTATATTACCTCAATCTAATGAAACTGCACATGAAAAACTACGATCAACATTGTCTGACAATTGCTCAAATATAAATACAACTGATCGTTTATCGGATGTTGATTCGATAAAAATCTCTTGTAATATAGAAATGAATAATTTTCAAAATGTGAACTCGTCTGTTATCGATCATGCCGAGATATCATTTCTTTTTCACAATTCATTGGGTTCACCCGCTTTAGAAAATATCAGGGCTGCCAACACGTCCGAAACATTATCGCATTACATAGAGCAGTGTAACCAAATGGTTAATGGTAAGCCGCTGACAAAATTCTGTTTAGTACCGTTCAGGTTGAAAGTCGCAGCCAATTCAAAATGTTACGAGGAATGCAGACAGCTTTTCCCTATTCAACGTTTATTTTTAAGTAAAAGCACCCTCGATGCGCAAACCCAGACTGAGACTGGTGTAAGTTCATCTGTTGCAATAGTAGCAGAAACCTGTTCTGACAAGAATTTAGGGCAGCAAGATAACAAAACAGAAGGCATAATCAACACATGTTCACATGCCGAGGATTTGGATGCACTTTCTGAGGAGTTTCTTGGAAAAATGCATTTACGAAATTCTAAAACGAACACCGATGTCGGTGCCAAAAGCTCTTTTCCTGTGAATAAGGCTACTTGTTCTAAAGAGTTAACTGATGAATCCAGTGTGCCAGATACCGAATGTACAATCGACAGAAGTGCGGAGGAATACTTATTAAACGAAGCCTTTAGTCAGGACCTTCGTGAATTAATAAAGCTTGCAGGACTTAGCAATAGCAAAATGTATTGCGGTTGCGAATCTGAGTCTGACCTTGTGCATTGCACAAAAGAAGAACGGAAAAATAATAGCATCGATTCATCTCTTTCGAAGTGTAATGTAAACCAACGTAATAAATCAAGTACCAGCGCGGAATCATCAAGTGTGCTGCAAAATGAGTTACGCTTGGTGCAAACAGAGCAAAACTCTTTAAAAACTGCGCATGGTGATCGGCTACAGACAAACAAAAGTGTTTCAATGAACAAACCTTTCCCAGAAGATCTAATTCAACAGTTGACCGAGCGTTTTAGGATGACTTTACGGAATGCGTCAAGGTCGTCAGCTCAAAAATCCCAAGTGACATATAAAGTGACTGGGAATTCTCAGTTTTCAGGCAAGGCCAGTATCTCCTCCGGGTCAAGTGATAAAATGCTTCCAGGTTTTTCCATGGAAAACGTTTTTACCAAGCAGAAGGAAGGAAAATTACATGTTGTATATCATGGTGACGTATCACGTGCTAAATCAGCTCTTGCCAAGTGGCAAAGTCAACGATGAAACTTTCTTGCGTCTGAATTCTCTGAAGCTTTCAATTTTTTTAGCAATTTCAGACAGTGTTATGACGACGGTGTTGACATAGCAGTTCACAAGTCTTTAATTCAAAAAATTTTTCTTAATTGAAAAACAGCATTTTACGCTAAACAGAAGGTGACGTCATTTATTTCAATAACCCTTGTAGTTCACTTATTGTATCGATTTCATTAGCCGAAGCCATTGTAATGTAAGTTATCACGATTTCCGAACGTATATTTCGAAAGCTAAAAATTCAAGTCACGCTTTTGAAAATGAGCCCGACTAGATGTTGTTAAACGTTTGAGTGTGCTCACAGCTACTCTCAACCAATCAGATAACAGATATTCCCACTATAGATTTTACTACTTGGTCGGGCTGAATTTTCAGAGCCTGACTAAACTGCGTAATGCCCAGTGAACTCTATGGTACGGTGGCCCACAAGTACAAGCACACTTACACATAACAGCATACGCGCACAAATTCGAGGATGCACACTTACACATAACAGCATACGCGCACAAATTCGAGAGTGGCCCACAAGTACAAGCACACTTACAACTAACAGCATACGCGCACAAATTCGAGGATGCACACTTACACATAACAGCATACGCGCACAAAAATTCGAATACTAACAAACGTAAGTTCAAAATTAAAAAGGAAAAGCCGGCAGTCTATTACTTGGCATTTCTTTCCGCTGCTAAACACTACTTTAATGACTTATGGAATATATCATTCGCAACTATTTTACTAAAAACTACACGTATGATACAATCCTACAGCTATTACAAAAATATCATGGAATTTGCATCTCCAGAAGTACTTTGCTGAATAAGCTTAAGCTTTATGGATTGCACCGACGTGGAAATACCGTTGATAAAGACCACGTAAGAAGATGCATTGTTCGAGAACTAGATGGAAGTGGTAAATTGTTGGGCTATAGAGCCATGTGGAGACGATTGCAGTCAAAATATGGCTTGCAAGTTCCTCGTTTGGTTGCTCAAACCACCCTTCAAGAAGTGGATCCAGAGGGATCGAAATGGAGACGGGCTAACCGTCTTCGTAGAAGAGCTTACATGAATCCGGGGCCAAATTATTGCTGGCATGCCGATGGTTACGACAAACTTAAACCGTATGGTTTCCATCATGCGTGTATAGATGGATTTAGCAGGAAAATACTGTGGTTAAATATAGTTCCTTCAAATAATGATCCCCGCGTAGTGGGCAGGCTATTTTACGACTGCATATCTAATATGCAACTCTGTCCTAAAATTCTTAGAACAGATAGGGGAACAGAAAATGGGATTATGGCATCAGCCCAGTGTTTCTTACGCCGAAATGGTACGGACACACATTCTGACGTCAATGCTCATCAATATGGATCATCACACAGCAATCAGCGAGTAGAAGCATGGTGGGCCATGTTACGTCGCTCGTGGGCCTCGTGGTGGATGAATTTTTTTAAGGATTTGATAGCTAAAGGGGTTTTAGACACAAGCAACGTACTTCAACTTGAATGTCTATGGTTTTGCTTTAGTCCTGTCTTAAAAAAAGGACTTGACCAAATCAAGGAATCGTGGAACAGTCACTATGTACGCAAATCCAGGTTTTACACTCATGCGGGGATCCCTGATCAGCTTTACCTTCTACCTGAAGCAGTTGGAGCTGAAGATTTTCAGAAACAATATGACGACGAAGATCTTATAGAGATTTACAATTCAGTTAATGTGTCGACAGAAAAGGTCTCTACATATCAAAAATACTTCTGGTATAGTGCTGGTGTGTTACGAATAGGACAGATCCAGACATGGAGAGAAGCTTTAATGGCATATGAAAGACTTCTAGAAGCAGCTTAAAGCAAATAGCAATGAACAAAACATATTTAACATTAATAACTCAAAACGATAACGTATATGGTAATCTTATAAAGAAATAAGATAATTTCATATTCAGGGAAGGTCCATAACCTCCATCTTCATATGACACCACATCATTGTCCATAAAATCTTTTTTAACAAAAGTGAACTAAAAAAAGTGTTTCTACAATGTAAAACACAATATAATATGTCATAATAGTGTGCTAAAACATGTGATAGAACTTTCATACAATGTCAAACGACCAGGCACTTTTTTCTCTTAGGATCGAGGAAAACTCCTCTACAAGTTCATTATAAAATTGATAAGTGCTGGGAATCTTTAGCAATGGTCCACAAGTGTGTGCTACAGGACGACGTTGTAAACCATTAAGTTCTGTAAATGACACTTTTAACTTTTGACCTTCTAAAATGATGTCAGAACCTGTGGTAAATTGAAGGAACGCGGTTACGTTGCCACCTAGAGACTTTATATAGCGCACCAAATGATCAAATGCATTTGGACATGGGTTTTCTTTGTTGGTAAAAGCAAAGAATGCTTGCAACATCTTGAAACGCAGGATGACTTTTCAATGATTGCAATATTGTTGCCCAACAATTGGAAACGTACCGCGGTCTTTGGATAAGTTCTTGGTGAGCTAATTGGCATAATATATCTTCAATATTTTCTTCTGTGGGATTGAGATAGCACTTGTAGCTTCCTAAAACTTCAAGTAAGTCTTCATTTTTACATATCTGTGATCGATTTTTCATTAAGTTATCAACCACTTCTCTCTCGTCTTCAGCCATATACTCCATGAAAGAGTTTAACAGCACTTCACAAGAAACACTGTCTTCACCATGGAGAGTACATGCAACAAAGCTGAACACAATGTAATGGGGAACACTCCTTCTTTGCAGTAGCCATACAACATGATTCTAGCCACTGCCTCCCATTCCAGCTTTTGATAATCATGACGAATGGCTGGCACCTTGGTAGATGCTCCAATAGATAATGACTGATAAAAAAGGTGCCAAAACTCTGTAAGAAGATCACGTGCAACACCTCTTCCTTCTCCCTCCTCAAACATACCTCTTGCATCAACTACTTTAAAAAATATAGTAGATTTCAATACATTTGGATTATAAAATTCTGTTATCATGTCTTTCAAAAGGGTTGTGCGATGGATTAGCAGATCTAGCACATGCAATTGTTCCTCGGTAAATTAACTTGAGCTGGTTGTACAAGATTTGGCTCTGGTTCAATATTATCTAGTAGGGATTCAGTTACATCTAAAAATAAATTTAAAAACAAAAACAATGAAATATACAAAATGTATAGGATACATATGTAACAACTCATTAGTTATACCTGCATCCTGAAAAATTTGAGCAGGCATTTCACCTGGTTCCATAATGATTTGCTCAACTGAAAATGAATCAACCTGAAAGGAAACAGCTTCCACACAACTATTATCAACATTAACAACATTGCTTGGAACAGGATTTGTTTGAACATGGCTGGCCTCCACTAGACTAGCTTTTGCAAGGCTAGCTGGAACAGCATTGGTATGAGCATGATTAACTTCCACAAAATTATCTGGTGTTGCATTGACTTGTTGAGAATTTCCCAGTTCACATATAATTTGTGAAGAATTTTCTTGCACAGAATTATCTTCAAAAACATCAGCAGTATCTGGAACAACCGTTTCCTCGAGGTCTTCAGTCAAATCATTGGCTACTAAATTTAGAATATAACATAATTACTAACCCTACAAACAAATTCTTTTGAAGGTTTAATGTTAGTTGCAAGATAATTATTCTAAGGCATTTTTTAACTTTTATGTACTAGGGCATTTTTGCATTTTGCTCTGTGCTTGCCCCAGTAGTGAACCTTTATTCACCAGTAAAATACAGTCAATAGGCCCATTCAACTCTGGGAAGCTCAGAAATGTTGCTTCAATAAAATGTGACTGCTTTTGATTATTTATTGCATGACATATCAGTTTTCAATACAGCCAGTGTTTGTCTTGTGCAATGCCCCTAATGCTCACTCCAGCAGTCTAAATGCAAAAAAAATACCCGGAATTATTTTGAACTCAGTGTTTACCTTCAAAATCAAGCATTTTGCAAATGTACAAATTTACTCGACTGTATGGACGTCCAAGTTCATTTTTATATTTTTCCACAGAGAATTTTTCACTGCTTCCTGGAATATTTCCCACGATATCCATATCAGGGTAAAGTAAAAGCCACTCAGTTTCATTATGATCTCTGAGATGTCTGTTGTGGGCAAGCTGTTTCTGAACTCCGGCATTCTTTACAGGAACTAATGTATCTGATTTTCGAACATCAACAGGAAGTAAAGAAGATCTTCTTATTTTAAGTCTTTTACCGTCGAGTTCAATTATTCCAATCTTTATCTACAACACAAAATTGAGTTTCATTAACCAAATTTGTATAATTGGCATAATCATAACATTGAATACACATACCTTCACTACTTCATCTTTCCTTTTTTTTTATTTGACTTAATCGTTCATTTGACTTTTTCTAATAGTTTGAAAGGTAGACGAACTACCAGCGCGGTGGAATTTTCTAGTTGATCGCCACGATCAGTGCAAGGATTGGCGACTGCGTTCTTCTTTATGTACTCTTCGAAAGTTAACGGTTGTTGACTAGAGGCCGAAGGTTTAATTTCTGATACACTTGCACCACAGTTCTCGCAAAAATTTGCATTTTCATCCTTTTCTTTTCCACAATGTGGACAAAACATCGTTGGGTTATTGACTTATTGCTATTGTGAACATGTGAACCATGAAATATTTCTCGCCGGCAATCTTTTCGGTTTTTGCAGCCCGATTTTACGAAACGTCATGTAATAAGCCATGAATGTGAATATTTATTTGTGCGCGTATGCTGTTATGTGTAAGTGTGCATCCTCGAATTTGTGCGCGTATGCTGTTATGTGTAAGTGTGCTTGTACTTGTGGGCCACCTTACTATGGAGTTCATTGGTAATGCCTGACACTAGAAATGCACTAGTCATTGTTGCTAAGTAACAGAATTTAAAATTTTCGCAAATCCAATTTTAAAGAAAACAAATTTTTCATTTTTGGGAAAATAATTGGTCGGGCTCGACCAGCCAGACCGCTAGCTACGCCACTGAACATAATCAGCAAGACTCGTGGACGATTGTTTTTAACAATACGTTATACAATACAAGTTTATCGGCCCGTTATATGCAATGTGTTCATGTTCTTTTTTAACTTTATATGCTTTACACGGGCAGCACAAGAATAGGGTGTTATGTATTTAAAAATAAACTTGATTTTTACTCACTTAAATGGATAAAATAGTTTTTTTTAAGAATCCTTTTGCGAGAATCTTGCACTTTTCTTTATGATGCTGAGCTGTTGACACATACTTGCAGGTGTGTATATTTTCATGGCATGAGTGGCATGATTTAATGAGAGCATTACCTGCCTACATCATCTTCTCGTACAGCAACACTGAGATTACCAACAATTCATAGCTCTCAGGGAAATTTTTTCAAGGTATGGATGTTGCATTAAAGTTTGGGAAAGTAGGCTTTCCAAATCCTTAAAAATTCTATTGAAGAAAAAGTTGCTTGGACTATCATAGATTCATAGATTTGACAGAAATAGTCTTGCTTGGAACATCAGTATATTATCAAACTACTAAAACCTTAGAATATTCTTGGCTTTTTACAGTTTTGTTTTGTTGTGATGGTTTCTATTTACAAACATTCAAACTCATATTTTATTGTTATAACATTATTTTAGTTAATCACCATTTATTAACATTTATTCAACGATTTGAACAGCTCTTGCATGAATGTCTATGCCATGACAAGTTGAACTGAATGTGGGGTTTACAATCATACAGAGATTGTTGACTCATCAATAGGCCTAGTAATTTCAAGAACTGCATTTGCATTGCTATCCAATCATTGGCTACTATAAGTTAGAGAGGGAAGGGTGCATCATAATCAATGCCATACTCATCGAAATTTTGTATTACATTACTATTAATTGCTGCTACACTGACATTTTTCGATCCAGAAATCCACAGTTGAATTGGTGTCATTTTCCCCTTATTTCTTAATCGGTGATTGTCATAATCTTTTCGAAATCACTCAAGATGCCTTTTTATTCGGGTTTGAAAGACAAAATGTAGGCAAAAAAAATTAATTTTATTGCTTATAGCTAGGTAATAATTCTGTTCCAAATACCAGTATACATAGTAAAAAATAAAGTACAGCCATGGAACAGGACCCTCCAAAACCTCTCTATTCTCTGGTTATGACAACTTTTGCCAGCAATGAAGCTCTCTCTACCTAGTCCTCTTATGGATTTGAGAACATGAACCATGCAACATCAATATTTCCTACACCTTGGTCTCCACCTACCCTTTCAGGAAGGCCAAATCTTTCTATTGCACCCATAAAAAGAGAAAACACAGTATTTGCCTTATTATTAGTGTTTGCTGCTAGAAATATCACCCTTCGGGAAAAGTCATTTTGATGAATAACAAACCCCTATCTTATCAGTTCCCATCATCATCATCATCATCATCATCATCAGCCTGTCACGCCACTGCTGGCGGAGGGCCTCCACATCTTTTTCCACTCTTCACGGTCTTGGGCTCTCTGGATCCACATGCTGCCCGCTCTCTGCTCAATGTTATCTCTCCATCTCCTTTTTGGTCTTCCCTTGCCTCTTCTTGTCCCACGGGGTCCATTCAGTTGTTTTCTTTGCCCATTCATGGTTTTTGATTCAGGCTAGATGTCCTGCCCACTTTCCTTTGGCTTCAATAACTTTCTCGATGACATCCTTCACCTTTGTTCTTGCTCTCAGGTCTTCATTCCGGATCTTATCTCTCCTTGTGACACCGAGCATTGATCTTTCCATACTCCTTTGGGTGATTGCCAGTTTCTCTCTTTGATGGTTGGTAAGTGCCCACGTCTCTGCTCCATAAGTCATTGCTAGTAGTATGACAGTGTCCATGATCTTCCTCTTGAGACACATGGGCATTCTTTGATCTCTCATGAACATGCTGTACTGTCCAAATCTCTTCCAAGCTGATGTTATTCTCTCATCTATTTCTCTCGCCATATTATTTCCTGATGTTAGTAGTTTTCCCAAATACTTGTACTCTTCAACCTCTTCCAGTTCCCATCAAGGTGCCATAATGAAAGGGGTTTTGCTACAGAACTATGCCTTCGCATTACAATATTAAGCTGCATTGTTCTTAATAATAAGCCTTGTGGATCATCTCGCCATATTGATGAGCGTACATGCTCCCACTGGATGCGTAAATTTCTGGCTTGAAGGAAACCTTTCATTCTTCTTATACCACAATTAGGAAATCTATGATAGATCTCTAATACAATCGCATCAAGATTTTCATGTAATATATCTGTGCATGTTAGCACAGTTAAGTCAAACTGTCTTATCCTTCGACAAACAGTCTTCATGCTGACACCTATAATTTGCGATATTTTTTTCAAAGTAAAACCATAATTAAGGTACATTTTTAAAACCACTCTTGGTATATTAAAGTTCGGGCGACCAGGAGAAGCTGTATTCGCAACAGAAGGTGTGGAGGATGGATTACAAGTAAAGAGCTCAAAGAATCTGGCATTTAAAAATAAGCGTAAGTTATTTTGTATGCATAATTATTTATTACATAAAGTTATGTTCATCAGATGTTGATTACTGACCTTTGGGGTCAACGTCGACGCAATGAAGTGAAATACAACTCGACGAACTGAAAAACGATGCAACGAACTGAAATACAATGCAACGACGTGATGTTGCATTGCAGTTTAAAAGAGATGATTGCGACGCAAAGATATATGGTAACGCCGTGACATATAAATTTGCCAAGCGAAGACATGAACTTGATTTTGTCCCAAACCTAACTCCATAATATAAGACAAGGACGTAGTCTATCTACACTTGATTTGAAGTCATGCGTGTCGATTATATTTCCTGTGAGAAACAAATTGCAAAATGCAAATAAGCTTGACAGTTCAACTGTATTTACGACAGTAATTAACGGTATTGTGAGTTTAGTAATTGACAATGTATTCGTTAACAAGAAGTGGATGCGCTTTATTTGTGGTTTTTTTCATGTTTCGTGGAAGTTCTGAAACTGTGGAAGAATTCTCCTCACTCTATTTGAAACAGCTGGGCTACGATTCATTTTACATTGGATTAATGCCTTTGTTTGGTCTAGTGACACAGTTGACTGGCGTTCCTGTTTGTACTTATTTGGCTGATAAATTTCGACTCCGTAAATTTACTTTGATTCTGGCGACACTAATTTCTATACCTGCAATCATGATGTATTTGATTCCTCAAGCGACAAGTTCACCATGTAAAACAAAGATACGGAATTACGAAAGCATAAATTTTCATAACAAAACCCAAACTAAATTCCTAAACAGTTCATTCACAAATCAAAGAACTCTACCACATGGTATCACTGACAATTTTAACGAGAGCACAAACTTTAATGAGTTTTCGTACTATCTGGGAAATTCGTCAGTATTCAAAAACAGCAGCCAACGAAATCATGGTAGAGATAAACTTTGGTATTTTTTGCTTTTGTGTATTCTAAATGGAATATTTGAGCTTTGCAGAAGGGTAACAATTGGAATAATGACTAGTATCGGAATAAATCATGAAAAAGATATGATATGTAAGTTTTCATACTACTTGGGATGCGGAGCTGCTGGGTCAGGAATTGCACTTTGCGCCGTGGCACTTGTTGCTGGACAATTTAAATATAGTAGATGTGGCATAGAAGTACCAAGTTATTTTGTTGCATTTCCAACTGCAGCAACTTTACAGTGTTTTATTTTACTAGGGGTAGCATTGTTGAAGTTTGATTACAAGGATAATGCAGAGAGCATCAACTATAAGAAAGCAGTATTAACATTGCTGAAATCACACAACATTTTCATTTTGTGTATAGCTTTACATGTGGGTGCATGTAATGGGTTTATAACTCGTTGGCAGTTTTGGTACATGGAAAAACTTGGTGCAAGTACGACAGTCATGGGTGTTGAGGGATTGTTAAAGAGGTTGATTATCTCGAGCTTTTGGTTTCTGACCACTGGTTATGTCCTCAACGCATTTGGCCTATACGTCACAATGACACTTTCTCTTTTTTTATTTGCAGTTGCATTTATTCTTCTTGCGTTTATTGGGAACCCCTGGTTTGTTATTCTGATTGATAACTTTGAACTTTCTGCCTATACGTTTTTCTATACAGCTGCTGCGTTTCACTTCTCAAAAGCAGAATCAGAAGCGTTATCTTCATTCATTCAAGGTTAGTGTAATGTTATTGCTTACCTGCACCATACATAAAACCCACAATATGTCTTATGAACAATTATTGATAAAATTTGTTCTGCAATGATTTTCAACAAAGTGTTAGCAATTTTTTACTTTTAAAGACTCTTCTTTTGGTGTTTATATTGCACGTTTATAATATACAAACACTTATGTTTGTGGAAACTTTTCATCGATAAAATTAATGTTGTGGATAACTGACGTATCCAGTCCGCATTTTTGGTCAAGATATGTAAAAATTCAGCTCATTAACATCATTTACTCCTTTACGAACATTATTTCTTTTTAAGAAAGTAAATACCAAAGTATGGAAAATACACGACAAAACTTGCATTCTGGCTACGTTGCAGTTATGAATTAAAATATAAAATACACCATTTGATAAAGTAACTTCGTAATTGCTTAATTTGAGATCAAAATACGATTAAATTGCAAAAAATTTTTTTTAAAAGCCGTTTTTGTTCTTTTGCTTTATAAAATCTTGTATATTTGCTGAAATAAGTATATAAGCCGAGTTACAGCATTTAAAAACAATTATTTGCTGTCCGAATTATTTTATGTATTTATCTAAAGACAAAAATAAGCAGCATATTCAATAAAAAAATTTTATGTAGTTTTGTTCAGTGTTTTGCTCTGGTTTTTAATAAATTGAATTAATCGTCATTTAACTATTGTTACCTTCAGGTGTGTTGACTCTTACCATGAATGGCGTGGGAAAAGACGTTGGCTCGATATTGACAGGATATCTATTTAGAGAATGTGGCATTAAAACAACCTTGTGTGGATACTCAGTAATTTCTTTTGTATGGTTCATAGTTCTGGCAGTTTACACTTTCATCAGTCAAGAGGCTCATAACTACAAGAGAGTAAAAACAGAAGCTGAGAGTGATATCGATGAAGAGAGACTCCCATAATAAAAACTATTTCAACTTACCATTACTGAAAAAGGTTTTGTCAGTAAATAGGGTATTTTGTGATGCAAAACATGTACTACTTATTTACCATTGTGCCTGGTGGCCTGGTAATGTAATTTTTTATGAAAATTTTATTGCTCATTTGCTGTAATCAGCAAAGTATCGAATCAATTAAAATGAATGTCATGCTTCAATTTTGCAATTAACAGCAGCTGCAATTCGTATTAGATTTTCTAAATATTTCTGGCATTAAAATTTAGAGAATTCCCTATTTAGAGAATGTGGCATTAAAACAACCTTGTGTGGATACTCAGTAATTTCTTTTGTATGGTTCATAGTTCTGGCAGTTTACACTTTCATCAGTCAAGAGGCTCATTACTACAAGAGAGTAAAAACAGAAGCTGAGAGTGATATCGATGAAGAGAGACTCCCATAATAAAAACTATTTCAACTTACCATTACTGAAAAAGGTTTTGTCAGTAAATAGGGTATTTTGTGATGCAAAACATGTACTACTTATTTACCACTGTGCCTGGTGGCCTGGTAATGTAATTTTTTATGAAAAGTTTATTGCTCATTTGCTGTAATCAGCAAAGTATCGAACAATTAAAATGAATGTCATGCTTCAATTTTGCAATTAACAGCAGCTGCAATTCGTATTAGATTTTCTAAATATTTCTGCTGGTAATAGCAATTGTCGTTTCCTGAATCTGTTCTTATATTGGACTTCAGCCCAATTTTTTCTGATAAAGCATTAAAAATGAAAAGTGTCTGTTTGATAATATCCATGTTATGTGTAAAAGTGTTTGCATGCCCTTAATATGTGTTGTTTCATATCAGGGGCGGATCTAGGATTTTTCAAACATCAGTCATAAAACGTCGGAGGCGCTCCGCACCTGGGGGGGTCTGAGGCATTCTTCCCTGAGAAATTTTGAATTTCAGAGCCTTGAAAATGCCATTTTCAGCGTTTTAGAGCAATACAAAATGTATTTAGTGGGCATCGTTTTTGCGTAAAAACAACACATTTTGCTTACGTTTTTTTCAAAAAAAAATGAAGTGAACAATACTTGAATGTTTTGCCAAATATTTAGGCTCATTATCATGCCAAATATATGGCTCATTAGCATGTCTAGGAACGTAAAATTTATTTTACAAAAATGCTATTCAAAAACATATATAGTCTTTGGAAAATTTCTACCAAGTTGTCAGGCATAGACCCCCCGAGAGACCCCCATTCAAACCTCTATGTAATGAGTTAAGTTAGAAATTTGGTGCTATAAGTGACAGTTCATAGATACAGAAAAGCTCAGACTTCAAACCATGCAAGTTTATTGTAACCCTTTACCCATCTCCACATCAGTGCCAGCAAATTCACTTTTTGACAAAAAATTCAAAATTTTTTTCTGCCAAAGATTAAGCAAAAATTATCAGAGTGAAAATTTGCAGTTAAGGACAGCTTAATGCCATAAATGTTTATTAGGCATTTCACTAGACTATTATCTCCTGTAAGTATATGCAAGGTGTGCTATATAGCAATCACTAGTAGCATTGTCTTTGCAATACAAACAGAATGTAACCAACATGTCTTTAATTATATAATTCCATGAATGTTAAAATTGGTTCATGTGTCATGCTTACTGGTTATGATAAATATCTTTTCATATGATCAAAGCTCATTTAAATGTAAATCTGAAATAATTTAGTTTAGAAATTATAATGATCATCAGAAAAATTACCTAGTGATCATGAAAACTTCTTTGCTGTTTTGCCAAATTTCAAGGTTTATCTGCATACATAGAAAGACATTGTTACTTTATAGAAAATGCTTTTCATACATCAATAGCCCTTTGGAATTTATGGAAAACAATCTGGTATGAGCCGTAGATTAACACACCTTTACATCTCTACATGAGGCGTTCAATTAGAAAAGGGAGACAATATGTGACATGGGACAACATTTCGTGTATGTGAAATACTCAGGTTTAATACCATTCCAGTCAAATTGTCAAAATAAAAAGCTTAATGGATCAGAAGACTCAAAATCATAGGTTATAGTAAACAGCTTCTCATGTAATCAATGTTAGTTTTCTCAAATCTTAAACAATATGTAGTATAACTGTCCAATGATTGAATGATCAATGATCATAAACTGAAAAGCCCCAAACATTTGTTTATAAATTATATAATAGTATGGCGCCTTATGGCTACAGATTTTTTGTCCATTGAAATATATTTGCAGGAATGTAGGATTTCGCTGCCCTGTAACGGCCAGGATTCCCCAAGCACTAAAGAAATCATAGCTAAAAGTCCTCGGCAACAACAATTATAGAAGCATCAATCTGCTTACCATACGCCATATTGACATAAATCGCATCACACACTCCCATAAATTGACTTTGATATATTACATTCATGCATACACTTCACTTGTCCTTTACTTACGATTTTCGATGTAAATTTCTGCTGATAAAACTCAAAACAATGTTGGCTTTCTTTTTAACATCAATGACTGAAATGTCGCTCGCGCGATCGTCTTTGCCAAGCATTTACAATTTATCCATAAATATTTTACCCTTTTGAAAAAATTCGCAGTTTGGACAGCAGCATTCATGTCAATATGTGAATTTGTAAAAGATTTCCATAAATTCCTCTAATTGTAGTTTAGTTTCTATCATGCTTGTAAAAATTACTATGAAACGATCAAACATTCAATTCAGACAGTGAGCTTGACTATGTCAGTTCAGTTGGCTATCAGTCGAAATCCGTCAAACCAATCACAATAAAACAAAAATTCAAATGAACCAATTGTAAGATAGCAATTGGACTCCCTTATACGTCTTAAAATTCAACTGATCTGGTTACCAACGAGATTTCATTGGATTAGTCATTAGTTTTCAATAATAAATAAAGCTGGATTTTTATCACGAAGTAAATGCGATAATAAAGTAAGAATAATTAATGAATTTTTAATTAATATGAATAGGTAATTTTTGAATTTCAAACATCAGTCGCGCGACGGATTTGACATACTCTAGATCCGCCCCTGTTTCATATAATGTGAGTCGTAATGTAATTATTTGTCTGCAAGTCCACATGTGCTGGTTTTCAGAACAGACACTGATCTCGTAATACGACTTGATAAAGCAACTCTGTACTCGTTGTAGTTCAACGAAGCAATTATTACCGGTCGAGGTCATCAAAAGACTATTTGAAAAAACAAACAAAAGTGTGAAAAATTTAGCAATGCAGAACTAAATCAATCTTTAAGATTATGCAAAATTCTAAAACAACCTTTGTGATAATTTTAATAACACCAGCCAGCCGGTGTTACCGTTAATGCCTTTAATCAAATTTATGTATAAACACTTCTAGATAACTTAACTGCTTGTAAACAGTTTACGTTGAAAACATCTTTCTTGAGAGAGTCTAAAAGTGTTGGAAAAATGCACGTAAAGGCACGAGAAATATTGACCTAGCCCAGCAACACAGAATATGCAACTAAGTAGAATGGTCATTCCTTGAAGTTTTTGGTCACACCGAAAATTGTCAGATGTAACTGTCGCCATTTTCCTGGATAGTAAAATGAGAGGATTTTACAACAAACAATATGGCGAAAATTGAATTGTCGAGTTTAAAAATGATTTAATTATGGAGTGTAAGTGGACTATCTTTGCCATTTTTATGTGTATATTAAAGAGAAGGTAAAACACGATTACTCTGTCGACTCTTTTGACTTAAAAATCTAATTTTACGACACAATTCAACAGCCATTTATTTGGGAGTATATTCAATCATAGGTTTTAGTTTATCTTTACCAGGATGTCCTAATTAAGCAATCACAAATACGTTATGACTCGTCATATATTTAAAATAAACTATACAAATGATTTTAACAAGCCTTCATTGTTTAGGAGATTAATTTTCGTGATTGAATGCTTTAAATAAAGTAACTCTATGACATACAAAATACAAATATACGTTCATGTACAGTTTATAATTTGTCTGATTACTCATAATTACGCTTAGATATGATAGATTTGGGCTTATGGAACAATAAAAAACTATCCCTGTTTTCAGAGTTTTATATCTTAGTGCCTACTGTAAAAATGGGATACATGATTTTCAGGAATAATAAGAATCTACACCCTGCTTTTTAGTTTCTTGTGAGCAAAACGATTGTAACTCTAAATCCCAAGGAAATGCTTTTGTTTAAATACTTACATATGCCCAACAAATTTAGTGAGCATATACAAACATGACTAATCAAAAATAGGTATCAAACTAAATTAGGGAAGGTTTTCACTCTTGAAATAAATACACTGCATGACTTCTATATGGACTAAACAAAGCAGTAGTTAGAAAGTGTATTTATCCATCATCGTCCCATTATTGAAGACAAGAAATATTTTTTGTATGGTTAGATAACATAACACTTTGATTTAATCATGTTTATTTGTATAATACGTCCTTTAAATCACATGCCAGCAAGAGAGTATTCAGCATTATTGATTATACATTGTACATATACAAATACTACATAAAAGATAAAAGTTTCTCCGGATTTTAAGTGATTTTTATTGAGCTTTCGACTCGTTGCTTCGAGCCTTCATCAGAATGAGGATATTTATTTACACGTGCTTTTAGCTTGGAGACGTTTAGAGCGTCTAATTGGATGAGTGGGTGGATTAATGTGATTGGATGGGGTGAAATGCGTTGCCATGGGTTTTGGTGTATTGTGAATATGATTGGTGTTAATAATATTAGAGTGTAGTGTTTTAGTTTTGGTGTTGTTTGTAGTTTTTAAGTCCTTTTTCTTTAGTTGTGAGTATATGATGGGTATGTCGATATGTCTGTTTATTGTGTCGTTGTCTTTACTGTACCAAGCATCTTTAAATTCGCGTGCGTGTTTAGTCTGTGCGCGTCCGAGTACTTTAGTTTCTGTCCAGTCGAATGTGTCCAGTGTCTAGTAATAATATGATGCGATCAATGAAGAAGTAACAGGACTATAGATTAAAAGACAATTTTCCACTATTCGTCTATGCCTTGCATATGAAGCAGAGCTTGACACCTTGCTCATTTTCCCTTATATTTTGCCTTTTGACATAACATGAGAGGTTGGAATAACGTAAATGGCAACAATCTTTTGCCAGGAAAAATAAACAATCTTCTCTTGTAATCTTCAGTTTGGAAATGGTCCGAGCAATGCGTAGATGATTTTGAAGGCTCGAATACCCGTTTTGAAAAGAGAAAATCGACCCAAATTTTTCTTCCCTTTTTGGTTTCAGGCCAGTCATTGTTGAAAAACGGAATAGAGTGA